ATACTGAGTGATCCTTATTCCTACCCAACCCCCCAGATTTAATTTATTTTATTTATTTATTTTGATTTACAGCTTGATTCCACACAGTATTTTCAGTACAAGTGTGGAATTTTCAGCATGGATATCGGTAGCCCAAATTCAGGCCGACCATAGATATCGGGTGTGCGCCGGCAGGGGATCGAATCCCGGACCATGTGCATAGTCGGCGAGAGTCCTAACCACTGTGCCACCGACGCACAACAAATGATCTACGGTAATTATGATTAATTTTAACAACAACCAATACACTTTTGCGACTGAATAAAAAGACTGTTACTTTATAATATTTGGCTTACAATGGATCAAGCATTTCTACACATACCGAGCAACACATTACTCGGATACGATTATAAAATTCATCAATACTGAACTAGTAATTCTTAACAGGTTTCCACATTTTATCCTGTCTAATCAATGACTATCCCACACTAGCTGAAGATACAGTAACTACAGTGAAAGCATTCAAAGATCATCCAGAATAGGTTATATGCGAAGTACCGTGTGTGGGTTTTATCAATAAGTGTTTTTGGAATGCAGCACCTAAACCGGTGATATGGTTAGATAGGTAACTGCGTTTCCCGCATTATTAGTGATAATATCGTAAAGAAGAGGTGATGAAGAAAAACTCTTCTTATAAAGTGAATATGAATAAAGTGAAACACTGAATGCCTGAAATACTAATTATTTATGCTTAATATAGGAATAAAAGTTAGACATAGAATGTAATATTATAACTTGAGATAAGGTTTATGGTTAGATACCCTGATCATATTATTATTACTATTGTAACATTGCAGGCCAGGCCAATGTTCGAGTGGAATCCAAATGGGAAGCGACGAGTTGGTCGTCAGTGCGAGGTTGACATGGCGCATATCATGAGAGGAGGAGATGAGTGGTTATGGGCGATCGTGAACCCAGCCGAAGAGGACAGCAGAAAATAGAAGAAAGTGGATATGTGTTGTTGAAGCCCTATGTTCCACATGGAACCCAAGGGAATAATAATAATAAGCCTTACATGCTGATATATTAAAGTGACAATAAATTTACAAATGCAAAGTTGCATTATTTATTTTATTTCTTTGCATTTCGAGCTTCAAGTTGGAGCTTTGAAGCTTCAGTGGTAGTGATTTTTATTTTTACGGGGTGCGGTTGCTAGCTTCACGCCCAGCCTTCCCTCTTTGCCGGCCTAACTACCAGCCTAGCGAGGTTTGGGAGTGCACCGGCTGGGATCGAACCCCGGACCTCATGCGTGGTTGGCGAGCGCCCTACCTCTGGACCACCAACGCACAAAAAACCCGGTCATCTACGCAAGTACCAACCGGACCCAACGTTGCTTAACTTCAGTAATCGAACGAGAACCAGTGTTTCCATAGTGGTATGGTAGCCGACAACTCTGCGATCGCATCGCAAAGTTGTTAAAAAAGACAACTACTAGATGATCCCAGTGTCAATTTCATGAATTTATTAGACATAGATTTTATGTGTATGTGTAAAAACAAAGGCCGATTGTTATATAAACATTTTACAATATCTTAAAACGATAATAGTCATTCTAAAATGTTAAAGTAGTCAATTTTAGAAAACCTCTAAAACAAGTGTTTTAGGAGCTTGAAATGCATCAATATGAAGTAGACTAGTTTTAAAATGTACGAAATATTTCTAAAAGCACGTTTATTATTTTTTTTTGTAGGAGACTAACTTTAACAAAGTAGAGTTTATCTGAATAGATGGAAATGTTCACTAGTAAGAAAAGTAAAGAATGAGAAACAGTGGAATTACATAAATCCATTTGATTGCCTTGATAATGAACAACAAGTTTCCCCTGAAACGTTATACTATGTTCCATATCACTTAATATATAATTATGCTATAATAGATTGTTCAATTTGTGACTTTGCTTCAATAAGGAGGCCTACTTAAATCAGGCATCATATTTACCGTAATTCCCTGCGTGGTTGAGTAAAGGACAAACAAAATCTATTCGTAGCGCTATTCTATCTCATCTTGTGGATACAGAACACAAGATTGATGTTAACCAGGCTTTCAGAGTCATTTACCGCATACCAACAAATCTTAATTTCACCTTAAGAGTTCGATTACTAAATATTGCTGAGGCTGTTGGGATCCATATTAAGAAGCCTAATTTGTGCGTCCAAAAGAAGTTAGTTCAGACATTATCCTTACCTTGGCCATCTAGGTTTGCATGATCCTCAGTTTTTGTGGAATTTTACGAATTTTAGTTGATATTCTATTTGCTACTATATCTTTATTATTATAATTTAAGCATCTTTAATGAAGTGTAATTCCATTGATATTACTTTACAATTTAATATTATTTAAAAAACACCAATATTGTTATTGTCTACTATTCTAGAATATTCTATGTATATATACATATATATAATTCTAGAGCCAGAAGAGGAAATTATCGAAAAGGATATTCTTTGCTCAATTATTTTGTGTTTTATAAATTCCTATTGTTTCAACCGTTGAACTGCTTTCATGAATTGGAACCTATTCTCACGCATATTTTCAAAAAGGTTTCAACCTACTGCTATGAAGTTTTCGAAGGAAATGGTAGAAACACTTCGCGGAGTAATGGAGCATGTTTTGGATGGAACAACATTACTTCAAGTGATGCATTGTCAATTATATATGTTACTTGAAGGTCTTGCACAAGGAGTAAGTACCCTGCAATAAAGCAAACATAAAATTGTGTACTGTTTAAAACGAACTTTTCAAAAATAAAGTTGTTATTATTGCATTATTAATGCAGCACACACATTTATTTCTCCATCATGCTAAAGCTGACATTAACTCAGATACATTAAAATAAAGAAGTAAAGATAAGTATTACAGGTGTTGGAGAGATGAAAGACAAAAGTGTAGCAGAAGTCGTAAGAAAAGCAAAATATGTGTCCAAGATGTAGACAATAAGATGTGAATCGATTCGCTGAACTTTAGCGGATGATTCGAGTCTACTTCACCTAAATTATACAATCAAGTACTTCAGTTATTTCTTTACATCCAACCAGCTGGCTTTCACCTACTTACATAGTTTAGGCAATAAAGTGATGATTTCATTGACTGATTTAAAGAATGAGTATTACTAACTTAAATCTTCTATAATAGTAATACTAACGTAAAGTATTTGGGAAGGGAGTCATGTGAATCCATCTAAATTATATTAGTCAATGAATATCAACCAGTCTACCTCTCTTCCTAGGAGCGTTTGATTAGTCTCACAAAGCTTTATAAAAACGTACACCCCGTAATTCAGGAGTTTTATGGAAACAGTAGTGTGTAACTCCCTTACAAATATTTCATTAAGATACTGGAACATAGATTAAGCCGTATACTGCGCTCTCCTCATTCATAGATTTTTGCTCAGTATTCAAAAGACTCCTAGAAATATCAGAGTGAGATAACATAGCCTTGATTGACAAATTTTCAAGAAGCAGACGAATCCCTGCATCTCTTAGTGACACTCTACAGCCCTCTTCAGTTTCAAAAATATTGTGAGACCGGCTTATCACTAATAGTGTAACTTTTTCCTCCTCTAAACTATACCCGATCTTTGGATTCGAGTGATAGTCACCCTTCCCTCCAGATAAAACACAAATCTACTTCTTGCAAAAGATCAGCACTGAGAATCATTCACTGTGGACCAGCAATAGCAACAGACAGGGAGGCAGCTTTTGAATCTTAATATTGAGTGTAGTATGACATACTTGTGTTCACCAACGCATCTCAAGCTCTCGTGTAGACTATTATTATTCATAACCTACAAATGAGGCTTTTGACACAACAGTTGGTAGTCAGTTACTGGCATCTTGGAAAAGATACCTCCTCAACTTAGTTTGATCGAACAAACAGGATAGGTAAAGAAACTATCTCATCTTTTCGCCATTATCCCGCAGGTAAATCACTTCTCTCTACTGTTCATCACTCAAAGAGCAGTTAGCAGCCTTTTATCTACTTTTTCCATTTTTCATTTCTTCACAATGCCCATCAGTTGTGCTGTGTTTACCGAATGTAGTACAGACCATATAATTAACATACGTAAAGTATGACTCAATACTAATGTCTCGCTAAAAAGTTTGAATTACTTATTAGACAACAATTTTCGTAATGTCACATTCACCATTTAAGTATTTGATAAATGTAAACATATACACATCTACTTGAACGGAGAAAACAATAAAAATCAAGTTAGTTTTTAATTAAAGCTTGGGAACTGAATCTTCATATTAGCTGCAGTTTTCATAAATAACAAATTTCCATCCTCTGCCTTTTAAAATGACTTTAGTGAAAACAGTATTACAACTTAATCAGTTCACATTCGTTTACACAATGGACAAAATTGATGGTTATTTTAAAATGATACCCATAAATTCAAATAACACCCATATCAGCATACGTATTGTTGTTTCCATGTTCAATGTACATTGTATCCACTCACTGATCATATACTAAATGATCTAGTCATCTACCATACTACTCTCACCATAGAAACTTGCCAATACACTATCACATATTACTCAGAAGGATTTTCAATCTAATGACTTCTGTACATTCGATGAATAATTATCTATTTCATCCTACTTTGGGACTACTCAGCAGTACGCACTCAGGGTCTTCCAGTTTCAAGGTGAGCTCGTAGACTATTAAGCCACTAGGAGCTGAACCAATTGCCCATGAACTCCAGGTAAATTGGTAGAACTCTAAATTCGTAGGCCAGTGACTGAATGCTCTACGCTCTCCCCATTTAACTAGAAAGTCCTGGGTTTGAAACCCGGTGGGTGTACACTAATGAAGAGTCTCAAAGTCGGACGAAGCGGCTATCCAGTACTCCCTGGTTTTCCAATGGTTTTTGAACTGATGTTAGCACGTGATCGAACTTGTAATCAATCAAATCCTGGCAAATCAAAACATGATGAAGAATCGTCTATCGCAGACGAGTATGAGTAAGTTATTAATAGAAAAAATTTGTTCAAAAAACCCTGTAATTAAACACCACACTAATTGCAAATTCTAACACACACAGTCCAACAGTCTATATTCAATGTATTGATTGTCAAAATACTGCTTACTTTACTTGTAAATATGCATTTTAACGCCTCTTAAACTGTTTCAGATCTTCAACATTAGTTTATATTTGGTTTGCATTCACAGCTAACAGTAGGTGAAGTTAATTTCCTCCACTGACAAAGCAGTAAGTCAATCACTGTTCCATTAAAGGTGTCAACTTAATTTTAAACTGTTATTCAACAATACCAACAACTACAAACATCAAATAAGTGAAAACAATTTGGATTTAAATGATTGAAACTGCATTGAATAACTTTCATTTTTCGAAAAGCAAAAAAATTCCATTGACATTGATTGAAGAATATGCAAAACAACGAGGATACATCAATATATATATATATATATATATATATATATATATATCAAGAAGGGAAATAAATTCGCATCAATAGAAAGCACATTAAAGCAAAATGGAAGAAGAAATTCCGAAACAAAATCTACATAGAACTATAAATAGTATAATAATAATAATAACAATAATAGCAAAAAGTAATCTGAGGGACCAGAAATATAAGAACTACAAAATAAAAAAAACACAAAGAAAACTAGAAAGGACCAATAGACAAAACATACAAAACAGCCGCTACAACAGCAGTAATCACCGTTGTTGTGTACAAGAGAGGAAGAAATAGTAGTAGTGGTAGTAGTGGGGACAGTATGTGTATGTCGGTTGATGTTAGCAGATAATTGTCGTAAACCAGAATAAACAACCAGCACAATATATGTATATAAGAATCAGAAAGTAAAACAAATAACAACTTTAAATAGAAATCAGTGAACAAATTTAGAAAGAAGAACTTTAATCGTCATTGTCGAAACAAAAACAGTATCAAAAGAAAAAAAAGGAAGAAAGTCTGAAAAATTAGAATATTAAACACACTGGATTAGCGATGAAACATTGAATAATAAAAACGTATAGGCACTCATTGATTTATCTACTCATATGTAGTACATACATCAAAAACTGGTAACAAGTGTGTAGGTGACAGCATAGATACTGTGTGTCTAAATTTAGGGGGAACATGGAAACCATTCAGTAGATTGTAGTAAAGCATAAGTAAGCATAAATAAGGTCTATAATGTCTACATGAGTTTTTCTATACTGAAGTAGACTAACTAACAATAGATGAAGACTATGAAAGTTGCACATTATGCTTCTTGAGGGGGGACAGGGGGGACGGGTTATTGAAACACAGAAAGGCAAACGAATAGACATATATATAAATGTATATCGTTAGTAAATGCTGACGAATACTGTTTGTCCAAACCAATAACAATAGTCGAGTAGAAATGATTTACACAGAAGCTGAACAAGCTGATAAACTCATATATGTATAAGAAGAAAAGAAACACTAACTCATGAGATCTTTTTTGACGGTCACAGTGAGTGGAAGACGTTTGTTATTAAGCACTACACAAAAAAGCCTTCAGAATACATGAAGTGAATTACATGATTAAATTCGCTACTTTTATCCTGAAAAGTATGACACAACTGCCTACACAGAGTAGTTTGTTTTTTTCCCCATAAAATTACTGGTCAATAACATGTAACGAATAGTAAGTAAAGAAGGGTGTTTTCTTGTGTAGACCTGATGATAACCAATTAGTTTGCTTTGTTTTCACTTATTATTTGATTGAGCTAACAGACATGGATGAAACACAATCTCCACCACTATCTGTTAGATCTAAACGTTCCTCTAAATTTCGTATACGTCTTTCGTGTCCTTTGATAATAATCTTCATTTTACGAATATCTTCCATAAGATGTTGGACATCAATAGCATTTGCATGACTAGCACCGGTTGAGACACCATTCTGTAGAATAAAAGGCATAGAAATCGCTTCAGAAGAGAATAAACATTTGACAAATGCATCATTTTTTTAGAAATGTTTATAGGATAAAAAGTCCTACATAAATTAATATGAAATTCAAACATTCTCTAAATATACGATAACTCTTGTTGGTTTTTAATTCAATTTTGGTTTTCCCATTGATGGTGGATAGTAACTAACAGTGAAATCTAGGATGTGCATTTCGTCCTATTTAGGACTCGTTAACTGGATGTGGCCTAAGTGGGGTTTGAGTACTGGGTTCGAGTCTCAGTGGGAATACCATCATCCACTGAGAAATTCAGGTAAATTCGCCTAATGAAGTGTGCATTCTGTACCAACTGTGCTAAAATTTGCGTGGTGATTCCAATAGTAAAGCAGATGTGATTCACCCACTACATGAGACTATGACAATTATCAACCCAGGTAATTTATTTGATACTTATAAAATTCATTTAGACACATAAAATTTCGTTACATACTCTGCTATGTATGAACAATAAGTCATTCAGCATCTCAACAAAAGACCCTTAGCATACGTCTCATGATTACTGGCACTCATTAGCACTCATGTTCTTCGCGTGATTTAAAATAACAATAGTTATAGTCACCAAACACAGGTCCTGGATAAAAAAAATTTTCTGTCAACTTTGTCAGAGATATGCTGAGTAAAACGTTCCTGTTGACTTGAGAGTACATCTTAGACGTCATCAAACGAAAATCCTAAAATATGATAACAATCTCTTTCATTTAGATAAAGCAATAACAAGAAGTAATTTGTCTGAATCGTGTAATGCATTTGCGCAACACATTTCGAACAATCTGATCACACTCCACGGACTTGTCATAGGAATATATATATGAAATTAATAAAGGGTTAAGAGGTGAAAAAATAGACTTAGGTCAAGTTAAAAGGACATATTGAAGGTCAAAATAACAATGAAGACCGCTAAACCACTAAAACCTTTGCTCAAAACATTTTTTGTGATTACATTTCCACAAACAATTTTTTCATCCCGTCTCCTATATCTTATTTAAGGGATTTATTACTTCTATGTACTAACAATGTTAGGTTTACATTTGAAGGCGATTGTTTCCGCCAAGTTGATGGTGTTGCTATGGGAAGTCCATTAGGGCCCCTTTTATCAGATATTTATATGTCGTACATTGAGAATTTATAGGAGGATTTAATCGAAAATGTGCTACTTTATAGAAGGCATGTAGATGATATTGTAATCATCAGTGATAAGTCTTGTTCTGCCACCTCAATTTATAATCGAATAAATGAAGTTCAGAATAGTAAATCACTTGCATCTGTAATAGAGGAAGATAATTGTTTATCTTTCCTAGACATATTGCTTAGTCGACGGCTTGACGGGTCAATAAAAAGATATATTTATAGAAAACCTACCTGGACAGGACAGTATCTTAATTACCACAGTTTCTGCCCTGTTCAGTACAAAAGAGCCTTAGTAAGGTGCCTCTTCAGTAAAATCCAACGAATATGCACTGAAGACACACTTGATGAAAAAGAAAGTTGACACAAACTCTGGTTGATAACGATTATCCAGACAAGTTTATCAGCAGATATAAAGCAATCAAAACACCAAGACACACTATCTAACTTGCCCCTAAGAAAGACCTGTACATCAAGCTACCCTATATGGGGCATCAAAGCAGCTTGATAACTAGACAAAGACTGAACGCTGCTGTTAAAAAGACTTTTTATGCAGCTAATATCATAGTAATTGAGAATGTGAAGCCAATATATCTATCTAAGCCCTTTGAAAATGCAAACAATGATGTCACATCCCACTGTATTTACCAATTTGAATGCAAGTGTGGACCTAAATACATAGGGAGGACTCATCGATCTCTGCAAGTAAGGGCTTCTGAGCATATTCCTAAATGGCTCCAGAAACAAATGGAATTCCCAGAACCCATTAGTGATGAGAACAGGAGACCTAGCTCCTCTATTGCGAAACATATTATAGAGACAGGACATAAAATTGACGTTACCACATCTTTTAAACCTATCGATAAAACGTGTTTGGGGCATATCCTAAAGTTTGTGGAGGCCCTAGCAATTAGAAAGTTTAAACCACCTTTATGCGTTCAAAAACAATTCGTCATCACACTAAACCTTCCTTGGTGAATTTTGTTTTGATACCATAGCAGATGTACTATTACCTCTGTTATTTGGTTTAGTCGTCTTCATTGTTATTTTGACCTTCAATATGTCCTTTAAGTCTAAGTCTATTTTTTCACCTCTTACCTCTTTATTAATTTCATATATATTCCTATGACAAGTCCGTGGAGTGTGATCAGATTGTTCGAAATGTGTTGCGCAAATACATTACACGATTCAGACAAATTACGTCTTATTATTGCTTTATCTAAATTCATAAAGGGAACTTATTGTTTTAAATCTCTTGCAGGTAGGACTTTCATATGTGCATACATACTATATACAAAATAACTTGACCAAACATTCAGTCATGTAACTACCAATTCCATGAATACTACTACAAATGGATAATTTGTAAAAAAATATATGGAAGTTGAAATACTACTGAACTTGGATTGATTGCAATGATTAGAAGGCAACTAATAAATGTAGAACACTAACTATTCTGAAAACATTTTTGGTTTGGTCTGTGCAGAAATGGGGACCAGGCCAGGATCTACACAACATGTTAGGCAACATAAAAAAAGAACACCCAAAACACTGAGGACTAAAACTGTTCATAATCACATAAATAATGTCGACTAATTACTTAGGATAACGCATATGGTCTCTGGACAATATTAAGACATTAACACAAATATACGATGCCCTAAAACACTTTTCAATTAATTCCTAATACAGGACACTATGCCAATGATGACTTCAATTTTTATTGCGATTTTCAAATGAAAGAACCTTGATATCATGACACAGGGTGAACTAAAACTATTCTAACAGAAGACTTCGAAAAGTGATAATTATAAACTGTTAAGAAGGGATGCTTAACATTCTTTTCCCAGGAAATATTTTATGACTAACTAACTGTTTAGTTATTTTTAAAGCGAAAGAATGTAGAGCTTTGCAGAAAGCTGCAGAGCAGTTTAAGTTGCCAGACTCCATATAGTATATACCAGTGTATCAATAAAAAACAAGATTAACTTGAACGAAAGAGATAAATACAAAGTTTACATAAATAAACATACTACTGGTTCCGAGGGTGGATTATCTTTTGGTGGTGTACTTTTAGTTAATCGTTGTCTACTTGTCTCTAGAACATCAGCTTTTTGACGAACTTCAGGAAGCGGAGATTTTGAAGCAGATTGTCGGCTTTGATGTGATGAAATTTTAGACTGTGGTACCGCCAAAGTTGTTTGTTGTTCATCATTTCCACCTGAAGCAGCTGAAATCACCTTGCCTATACGTTTTTTTGGTTTTGACTTTGGAACATATCCTTCTTTAAGAGATACCTGAGAAGATAGGATATAAATATACATATAGAAAGGCATAAAATAACTAATGTCGAATATATTTCATGAACAACCAAGTAAGAGCTAATAATAGCTTCTTCAACTTATCTTAATTAAAACCGTGATTTCTTAAGTCCATATCAACTGAAAAAAACTGACACAGTAGATGGCAGATATATTATATCCCGTAAAGATTTCTTCTAACTTACTACTGATAATTAATAATTACCTCTGGAAAAATTGAAATTTTACTTAAAAATGAAGGGAAAAAGTAACCAAACAAAAAATTATGAATTCACTTCAATCCTATTTTCACTGTGTATACATGATTGAATTTACCTGGGGTGCATGGATATTCATGCTTACCACTGAAAGCACTGTATGTAACTAAAATCGTTAAAAGGGATGGGGAGAAAATATTAACGAGTCAGTGACAAAATCAAAATCTTTGGGAGAAACAATTTCTCACTTCATATTAAAACTCTAATACTACGCTCGAAGTATTCAGTTAAGATAATCAAAAATGGGCTCAAAAATACTCTCTCTATCTCTCTGCACATATATAAATGCATGGAACCACATTTATTTTTATTATTTTGATCCTTTGTGTTCCAAGTAGTATTATAGGGCTTCAAGCTTTAGCTTTGAATTATCAGTAGCATTGATGCTTAATTCCTGTGGGGTGGAGTTGTAAGCCCCACACTTAACTTTCCGTCTCTTCACTGGTTTTACTACCGGGTTAAGAGAGGTTACCGAGTGTAACGGCTAGGAATCGAACCATGGATGACGTGCATGCCTGGCGAGTATTCTAAGAATTAACCACCGATGCACATAGGACGGGTATGCATGCGTATAAACAGTTTCATTCATAAGTGAGGATGAAAACACCACTGTCTATTCACATGTGTACATATAGTTTTATGCAGATGTATCTTAATATATAACTATTTGATGGGTAAACTAATACGGTAATTTTATAGAGGAGGAAGTATTTGAACAATGTTTTATAATAGAGAGACAGATAATGTTAATGTCAAGTACACTATGAACACAAAGGAAAAAAATAAATCATTGCCTTAATGGCTAAATGATTGAAAAGTTACATATTTTTCAAAAAATTACTAAATGGGAGTGTTTTATTACCAAAAATTTCACCATTCTTCTCCCCATTTAAATATCACAACTACTTAATAAAATATTTTTTTATCTATGTAAGTTTACGACTATAGGAGATCAGTGACAGAGAATATGTCTGAATACATTTATGGTGAAAACCTACACTACCTTACACCAGCATACTAAGCATAATCCAAGCACTCTATCCAGTGATCACAAACGAACCACTGAGTTTGAGTATTTTCGGATATATGCTAACGCTATTCAGAAAGTTCTAACAATTTAAAACCCAAAATGTGTCTTAATTTTGTGAACTTAACTAACCTGACCATCATATTAACAATAATTTTTAACAGTCAATCTTCTTTACTTTATATTTCACAGGACACCACAAAAGGAAATACGGACTCATTGAACTGGCGTGAGACATTTTCATTCTCGCCCCTAAATTAAGCTAAACTGTACACTATTGACAAAATCAAGAGGAAGAAGAAATACAGTACGTTAGTAAAACTTAATCCTTAAATACTTATTATTTGTGATTATTATTATTATTATTATCATTATCACTATTTATCATCATTATTATTACTTTTAGGCTGCTTGAATGCGCAAGTGAAAGGTTTAACAACTGTGTCCGAAAATAACCTGATTCCAAAACCAGAAGATAACTGACAACTGTTCAAGCAATCTAAAAAGATGGTTCAAAAACTAATTACGATCAAGCAAACCAAGTTAAATTAAATATGTATTAGCTTCTTCGTCTACAGCTTCCTGTTCTGTAGTATAAAATGTATTACTGTGCATGACTTCATGAATATATATATATATATATATATATATATCACTAAGTTACATATGTTAAACGGAGCTTAATAGAATTCTTTTCACCATTTCTTATTGATATCGATCGACTAAAAGGTGGAAGGCAAAGAAAACACTAACGTGCCAATACCTGGAAACACATCAGCTTATTTTAGATGGATTGTGTATCTGAGTTACAGGATAGACTAACCATGAGTGATTATTTAACTAAGATATTCACTATCTTAATGTACCTAATTTAAAGAATCAAAATAAGTTAGTGACTTCATGTCACGTTTTGTTAACCCACCCCACCAGTAAAAGCTGGCAATTAAATGGCTAACGTGTTGCTGATTTCAATCATCATCATTATCAATCGGGTAAAGGGATTCCTTGGGTCTGATTAGTTCGCTTGTAATAGCTTCCAATTTCTCATATTAATTTAGTGTTTCATGCAAGGTATAATGGTTTAAATAGACGACTTTTTTGTTTTAACACATAGGAGATTTAATGTACTTTGTATGAGTTTTCCTCACTGAATAAATTATCATGCTGTCTATAAAACAAACACCGTATACAGTGGACCATAGAAGTATTAAATCATACTGCCAACTGACTGTTGTCAACAGCCAATAACTTCATGAATCGGTATCATGTTTTGATCCGACCACCCTTAACTCTTCTCTAACTTAATTCTACTCAAGCTCTACTCAAGTATTAGGTAACACGTGACTTAAGACCTTTAATCGATATAGTTTATAATTGTGACACTAATCTCCTTATATCACATATGTCCTTTATATTTCTTTCAGGTCAAAATGTTAGACATCAGCAAGTATTCATCTGTTCCAGATCCTGTTGAAAGGATAAGATTTATTCAATGCATCGTCATCATTATCTGCGCCTGAAACCTGTTTGATTTTCTCAAACCTGTTTTTCTCGAGGCCACCTAGATTTACATTAGGGCTATGCACTCTAGGATTTTAAATGCTATACCGTTTTTTTGTTTTATTCTTTTACGTTCCGAATAGAACATAGGGCTTCAAGCTAGAGTTTTGAAGTTTCGAAAGCAGTGGTGTTTATTTTCAAGGGGTGAGGTTGCCAGCCTCATGCCCCAGCCTTCCTTCTTTACCGGTCTTATTATCGGCTTAGCGAGGTAAAGGAGTGCGTCGGCCGGGGATAGAACCATGGACTACATGCGTGGTTGGCGACATTATGCACCTAAGCCACCGACGCAAAATGCTGTATTAGTCTGTGATTATTACAAAAGGATATCTTGTTTCCCATAAGCTAAGATGCACAACGATCTTAGATAGCTGTAGTACTTTTCTCATCATTAAATTCAGGACCAATGTATAGACACTATACTATACAAAGTTGTGGTTGCCAACTGATGAAGAGTTCCAAACTAGGACGAAACAGATGTTAAATACTCCCTGGTTTTTTAAATGCTTCTCTAACTGATATCAATCCGTGAACAAACTTGAGATGAAGAAATATGTGAAGTAAGAACAGTGGATATAAGAACGAAAAACCACCTAGGTCTCGAACAGGTCTATGACTGGATGAATTAATTCAGGTACAACAGAACACTTTTTGCAAGACATATATGGTTAACACAAATTACGATTTGACGGTCAGTTTTTTTTCAACTGATCATTGTCGTTTAACTTTCAAGAATCAGATCAGGAATTGAAACATGGATACGCGTGGCTTCACACCAAAATAATTACAGGGAAATTAGTATTAAAAATAACAGTACATAAGTAATCAATATTGATTGATTGTATAAACGCACCAAAATTATATTTTCAAAATTATTATACACAAATAAGGAGAGATATTTTGTATGTCTGTGTACAAACACTAGGGTGTAGAATATTAATACATTACCTACCTATAAACTAAATATATGTATTCACAAGCACACATAAGCACACAGACAGGGGTTAGAGAAAATATTTTAAGAAACCTGTAAAACTAAAGGGTAGACTTCACGAAAATAAACCTGGACAACACAAATTTGTAACTTCCAATAAAAAACCATGCGAACTGATTGAAAGCCCACATATACGTAGACAAATGCACGCCTACAGATGCGTAAAGCAACCATCAAAACAGCTGATATTCACATTCATGTTATCAGGTTGAAAACAGCAGTAAGTCCATTTATGGCAATATAGCACGTGAATATGATATATACAAAAATATACAAACAATATTTGTGTGTAACTAACTCATATCTATTGGGCAGGTAAACAAAACTTAAAATTACCGCGAATAATCCAGCATTAAAAAATTGATCACTATAGGATCTAGCTTAACACGAAAATTGTCTTGCCTATATACACATAGACTGAACACATTCTGTAGGCAAGTACATGCATATAATTTGTGGTAGTAACTGAAATATAATAACAATAATAATATTAGCAGTAATAATTGAGTTTTACTGTTTACTGCCGGATCCTATCTAATGAATCTATGTATAAGCTTGTGTTTGTGTGTATGTGTGTGTGTAAGCATGGTGATAACTTTGAAAACCAGTACAAACAATAATAATAATAAGTGGTATGCGGTGTACAACGGCGATTCGGAAATAAAAGATTTAATTTTACATTGATCGATTAAAAATTGTGGACACAGTCAACAAAACAGATTTCAAATCGATAAAAGCAAAGGAAAGTCGATAAAATTAGACACTGATTGGTAAAATATTATTAAAGCCCTATTCTAGTGTCTACTGAGATTTTTTTATGGGGGAAATGAAAAAATCAGATTAGAAACGAAATTTATTCAAGCATATTTTGTCAAAATTTTAGCCAGTACTAGAATATGTTAATTAACGATGATGGTAGTTGAAAATCTGTAGTTATTATTATTATTTTGTCTATTAGATATTCTCAATGAGAATGAAACGAAGTAGAAGTGTTTAACCTTAAGGTCAACGTCAGGTCAAATAACCAATTGTTTTTGTTTGCATATATATATATATATTAGACACTGAATGACTCTTCAAGTAACAGTTCAGTTTAAATATTCGCTTTAACACCTCATAATTATTTCACAAAACAGCATATAACTATGTTTTAGAGTAGTTAAAATTTACTTCAGATTACTACATTTCAATGTAAATGGAGTCTTTACCAAAGAATAACAAAGTGATTTCATTGTTTCAAGAGCAAATTAATCTCTGAAACAGTTTTAAAGTACATAACAGTAACCTAAGGAGTTTTATACGTGCTGTCATTGATTTCCTCACCATAAAGACATCTTCAAGACTCCTCCTCCTGCTCCATGGGTAGAAAGTGAGCATAGACAACAACAAACCGTTTCAAAATAAAATCTTAAGCTACGTCAAAAATCAATGAAATCCAAGAATACTGAAATTATAAAATTAGTTTAATAGAAGACATTTTTTCTAATTTATTCTTTACAAGTATTTAACCGTATGTGTGTGTATGGCAGTAATGCACTCAGCAGTAACATCATACTTGTTCACAAAAACCAGATTCATCATACGATATGGAACAGATCAAATAAGAAATGTAAACTAAGTCCGTTGGGATTTGAAAGTTTGATGAGATTTACACTTGCATTATAAAAAGCAATATTATATTCGTATGTTTAGGCAACTTCTATGTCTGAAGAGATTGTACCGATATGAAATAAATGAGTGGTGAATCAGCCATGTTTTTTACATTCAGGCTGAAATGCAACCTTAATCAAGGATGAAGGCAAAGGTTATGACCAATCAATAATCTCTTCGTAATATGAATTGGGAACATTTATTCGGCTTTACGAAGTTAAAACAATCAACAAAGGGTTAATAAAGCAGAATTTAATAAATTCATCCCGCTTTATTTTTATATGTCCATAGAATGAACGTGTCATTTTGTTTTACGAGATTTACAGGTACACGATAGTATGCCTCCTATTCAACTACAACAATGCACATACGTGATTAGTTTCAAAACTTTCAACGTCTTATAAAGTTTAATTTACTTGCTGTTTCTTATTCGTTTTATTTTTTAAATATAATATTTTAATGTGACTTTTTCCAATACACTCGAAATAGATAAAAACTTGAACTAATACACTTTCTTATGAGTAAATTCGATCGTTATTCTATTTGTCTGTAAAATGATTACATTTTTGTATCTCATTTGGTTTAGATATTGAACTTTAAACTGTTGTGCAAAGACATCTGAGTACTATGATTCAGTTTCACACAACAGTTAAGAGTTTACTTTGTAGCAAAGAAAACTGTGTACAATTAACAAATCAAAATCAATGTAATGGGTGGTGGTTAAAGAGTGAAATGAAAACCTGGGTCGTAGCTGCCTACACATTACTAGTTCACCACTCTGTCAACTGAGCTAGGAAACCCGACAATTGGTAGACTTGTAATTCAGACGCCTTTAGTTCGAATCCTATCATGAACTAAAATAGTCTCATCATAAATTAGAATCGATTAATACGCGTAATATCAATAAAACCAAACTGATAACATGTATTGGAACAATTACTCAGTGCATATACGATGACTTAGTATTCAATGCTGGATAAATGCATGTTGCTAATATTTCTTCAGTTTGACATCTGTCTAGTCTTTGAATTCATCCTGTACTGGGTAGTGTATTTCCGAAGCCACCAAAAAATACACTTCCAGTAAAGAAAAAATACCCTACCGGGTTTTGAACGCAGGATCTTCCGATTACAAGGCAAGCTCATAGACTAATCAGCCACTGGAACCCGACTCAGTAGTGGCCCGTGAATTCCAACTTCTACCAATTCGTGATTTTAGCGTGACCACCGGCCAATGTCATCAGCGAGCATTTGTCTTCACTTCTGACAGGATGGACCGCACTGGTCACAACTTCTCACTAGAACTCCAGGGAACTACGTCCCGTAGCCAGTCACTAGCCTTGTAACCGTGAGGTCCTTGGTTCGAAACCCGGTGAGTGCCTACTACCGATGAGTCCCACACTAGGGTGAAACAGCCGTCAATGGTTCTCTAGCTGGTATTAATCTGTGGTCAAATTTGGAGAAAAAAATCAAATCCCTACAAATCAACTCTTGAAAAACTATTCTATGCCAAATTTCCATTATTTACGAAAAACGGTGAATACAAACTTGTTAATATGTTAGTGTAGAGTGCCTTGGAAGTACCGTTCCATTTCGCCTTTTGTTATCACACTGAAATAATATTGATAACTTCTAATTTAATTTCACTTTGACTCTCTACTAGTTTAGAGAACTCTATGATTAATCGAAAAAATTCTTTTTAACGTAGGACTTGTCTCACACCTCTCAGATGTCACTACTGTTAACTGACACTATACAACAAGACAGTAACAACTGGTAGTTTCTCAGCTTGTTGCAAACCCATTTGACTTACATTTTCGATATACTGTAGTTTATTCATTCTCTTCATACGACTTGTTAGATAACGTCCAATTGATCTTCAAAAACATTTTTTCTCCTTCTTAAGCACTGTTGAACGAGTAAGTACATGTAAACAGTATAAAAGGTTGACTATAAACCTGCTTTTTAAGCAACCAGTATGATAATGATGATGGCACTCTACCCCATTATAAGAGTACCAATGGGAGATAACAGAATGCTTCCATTTGAAAGGATGCTAACAGTGAAAATAACACCACTTATATACAACAAATACACATTGGAGTTATTATGTTTTTTCTTTATAAAGTAGAATTGGAATTTGAATCTATGCCTTGAACCAATGCTCATATGTTAGCTGTAGAATTAAAAGATTGAGCACACGAGACGCAGTTGTTTAAAGCAAAAATACTAAAATAATAAATCGCATGCTGTATGAGTTTACAAAGTGTTTGAGACCCTGAGAAAAAAAACTGACACAAAAAAACCAACGTATGTTAACATTAAAATCACAAGCTACAATTAATAAGTGCTAAATGTATGATGACATATATGCACAACTTACCAAAACAGGATCTGAATCTTTACCAGACATCCATTCTTCAGCTGTCAGAGCTGGTACATCACCGATTGTATCCGGGTAAAGATCATCTTGAAATAATTCTGACTTTCGAGGTACAGTGAACGGGATAACTTCACATAATCCTTTAGCATGTAATTTATAAAATCTGGCAATCTCATTTTGATTTACATCTAATCCACGTTTTGGCATCCAACCCATTCCTCTTTGTGGATCAGAACTGGTAAGCATATTAATATAATGTACATATGGTTCTTCATCAGTTATTTCAAAATACCTTATGGTACTATCCCCCTATTTTAAAAGTAAAAAAGTTAAAGGGAACAACTGTAAATATATTTGTTTATAATTGGTCGAAAAAAATCTTTCAGTAGTCAAAATAGAACGATATATCAGACATACATGTAAGAAAAAACAAATATCTATTGGAATAAAGCAAGAACAACAGTGGTTTGTGCCGAATAATATGGTACCATCATTTATTTCGTCGGCTTCTCATCAGCTGCTTACAGCCTAAATAAATAATTAAGTTTATGTCCAGAAAAGTTCTAACACACTTGCAAATTTTACATGACGTCAGTTGACAGGAGGTTCGGGACTTAGTGAACAGTGTTCAGAAAATTAAGCTCATATAGTTTTTACACAGGCAGTTCAAGTTTAAACAAAGCAAATGTATGCATACAATGGTAAAGGGGTTACGTAATAAAGACGAGAGATGCGTAAGATGATGAGTAACAAATAAATTAGGTAACAATGTACTGAGTTCAACTCAAATCATAGAAACAAGAGACAAGCAAAATCACACTATATCAAATGGAGGTGAGGTTAAAGTCAAAGATTACGTAATCGAGTGAAAGGGAGAATAAAGACATCCAGTTACCAGGACAAGGGAAGATAAACTGCTTCTTTTTGAACACATAAGTCGGATTTCAGGCGTTTGATAGAGAATGCTTCGGCAAACCTGAGGAGTATTGAGCTTATTTGTCTATTGATAATTTTAAAGGAATTGGTGATTTCCACCTGATGACCGGTATCAAGGAAATGACTGGTAGTGGCACTATTATAAGCGTTCCCTTGAGACGTAGGCTTTTTAGTACATGTTCAGAAAACCGGAGGTGTGCCCTTCTTTCTGCTCTCCCCCCATGTAACTGCTCCCACAGATACACGTAAAAATAAAAACTACATAAGCGTAATTTTCTGAGCACTGTTCACTAAGTCCAGAGCCTGTCAACTGAAATTACGTAAAATTTACAAGTATGTTAGAACTTTTCTATACATGAACTTCATAATAATTTATTTGGGCTGTAAGCAGCAGCTGATGAGAAGCCGACGAAATAAATGATGGTACCCTAATTATTCTGCACAAAACACTATTGTTCTTGCTTTATTCAAACTTATAAAAAGGAATAAATGTGTGAAATATTTATGCGTAAGAAATAGTCATAACCTACATAATTTCCTTAGGTTATCTAAATGGGAATACTGAAGATGGTTTAACAATAACTAAATGACTGACTGCTTTTTAATCAGATGCTTGTCAGTGGCTGCCCTATACTAATGTATAATAATTTCAATATATATATATATATATATATATATATATATATATATTATTCGGGAATTTATTGACGAAAAGTTAATTAATGATAATTCGTGAACATCAACATAGTAAAAGAGTAGATAATTAATCAAGAGAACTGTGTTAAAAGTTAAAGGATAGAAGTTAAAACACTATAAACTCATAGAAGATGAAACAGTTGGTTGCATAATGAAAAGTAAGAAGATTGAAGAGTGGTTAGGTTAGATTAAATAAAACCAATCAAAGACGAAAACAGGAAGAATAATAAGATACTTAAATTAACGATAATTTATAATTAGGGTAAGACAGTGGGACATTAAGAAGTAACATAATCAATCAACGGGAAATACAAAATAAGTTTAAACAAATAATAACTGACACCAGTCTCACAAGATGTAGCTCCCATCGCTTAGATGCGTTGAAACAGCGGGTGCTGGGTTAGACTTTTAGTGAGAACGCCATCACTAACTGCGACTGTTGGTATATCATGATGACGAGTCCCAAAGAGGATGAAGTGCGCATCCTGGACTCCACCACTAAACAACATTATATTGATCTTAAGATATCGTGTCAAAGTATCCGCTTTACGAGCTAACATGTCAGCAGAGATTCAACATTTCGGTTCAATATAACCAACCAACAAGAGATACAAAACCAACTTAAACAAATAAAAGATTTTCCAAATATAATTTAAGTTAATGATGATGATGATTATCAGTGAAAAAAATGCCGTCGAAATGTCTTTTGAATACAGAGCTTCGACTTATTCATATGTATTCCGATAACTCCCTGTCATATGTGGATTAGCGTCAGATAAATGACTGTAAAAGCTTTGTTAATGCAATTGCACTTGATATAAGATTTGGACGTTGATAGCTTCAATATTGACAAGATGTGCTAGAATAGATCTGAAAATGAATTTATTCTGTCCGTTAACTAACTCTGCAAAATGCTGTTTGGAATTGCGATATTTAACATGTTCGACTGCATATCCAGTATAACTGACCCTACGGCAGCAATACAACTGTCGAGTACATACAGAGGATATGAAATTCCACAGTTTATCTTTGTTATGACAAATAGAAAGCGGGTACTGTGAGATAACATGTTACTCAACAACTACATGCAGTATATCGATGCGCTTAATAATGAACCGGACCAATAACTTGAGGAGTGTTAATGCTAATAGCTACCTGATTACACCTCCAAATGTATGTTCAGATTCTGTTCTTTGAGAGTCGTATCAAAAAAGAGGTTCTATCAGGCATTGAATGCTCCTCGGTACGACGCTTCAAATATGGGAATGATGCCATCACAAATAATGCCCTACGAAACTGTAGGCTTTAGTGAATGCATCTTCCATCGAAGCTGTTGATATGATAATTCTCTTAAATATTAAATTCATATATTAATCACACAACTACTTATGACATGCATCTTTGCTGAGTATTTGACAGATAATACTCAGTTCCTCATCAAGACAGCCATTTGACGAGATTATTTTAGCTGAACGAATCGAACACCTTACTACAATGCGATCATGTTTCAAAGATATAAAACTCAGAAAGTAGTCCTATTAAATCACTGACGTTGATTTTCTCTATAAGCCACTTTTTATTGTTTCAACTTTTTCTGCTCATTATCAAGACATTTGACAATGTTACTGAATTCTTTTTTCTGTGGTAAAATTCACTGTCGACCATATGCCGTTCAGCATGGTCTTAGGGTTTATTTCTGTTTTTCAGAATCAAGAATGTGTCATCCATGTAACAGTAACAAAATTCCAGTCTGCTGGAGACAACTTTGAAAAAATCACCCTCTAACTTTACTAGGAAAATATCGTCCAGGATAGTTTCGATAGCCATAGACTAAATCACACCTCCTCCATCAGTTCCTTTTAAAATATTATTTACGATGAACACAGAGTGTTTTCAAATCGGATTCCAATAATTAAAAGGTCACTGCAGCGAACATTCTCAGTATAGTTGACCGACGTTCCCCAGCAATTTATATTCCACTAATACCCCATAAATGACAAGGCACGACTGAGGGTGGGTAGACGACTTCAGTCTTCCTCACGAAATGCTTTGATTTGACTACACATTCATTGCATCTGCCAGGTAAGGCCTATTCACTGCATTCATGCGCCGTGGGTGTTCTCCACAAAAGTGAAAGGGTGATTGTGAATATCTGATGCTTACAACCGGACTAGTGGACGTGTTCGTCTATCTAGGGAAACGAGAAAACTCTGATTCCAAACGTATGGTGTACATGCACTCCAAAATCCGAAAGGATAGAATGAAGTATGAAGCTGATTTGGTCACCGTCAACCATGAGAATGTCGTAGCTCCTGACGCTGCTCCATCGCCTTCAAGTCAAAGGCTCGGGAGGTGACGCCTTTGGGCAAGTACCTGCTTCGGCCTGGGTGTCCGTGCAGTATCCCAGCCGTCACACAAACTATGAGATCTTCTGTGGTTAATCTCTTGGTGCCCATAATGTATCTAGTCAGTGTTTTAACAAATAAAAAATATATTCTTCCAGTACAAATGATTTTATAATCAAACACATCTAATAAATGATCCATGATATATCACAATTATAACTAGTTAATTGTTTAATCTAATCATGAAAGCTTATTATAGATGGCTTTTGAAGTTATTTGTATAGTTGTCTTTAATAGTTTAAACACTAATGATTTTTTTTGTTACCTATGATCATAGATACTTTAATTCATTAAATGAATAGATAGATAGTTCTTGAAACACAATCCAGTCCCATCATAAGACCTTACACAATAAGTGTGCCTCACATAAACAATTATACAGAAAAGCTTGTATCGAGTGACTGAGAGGCATTAAATTAAAAACAAAACATTTTGTATACGCCAGATAAACAATAACAAAATTTATGATTACACATAATGAGACTGATAGTTTACCGAAGTGGTACGTACAGAATGCGAAAATCACACCATAAAACAGTCGCACTACTAATGCAATCTAGGTAGGGTATACTGAGAAGAGTTTGAGTGGTTATATTATTGATAAGGGTAAAACAGACGACTCAATCAAAGTCAATAGGCGTCACGATAGTTTGCAAATGCGATAGCACTAGTCAGGCTACAGTTTCATATATAAAGTGTAGAAACTTGGTACAATCGTAAATGCCATACACGATTATATATATATATATATATATATATATATATATATAAGCGTAATTTCTGTTACCGTACAAAAGCATGTGAACTGGGCCTTGTGATTACAGTTGTTTTTTTAATTCAAAGATGGACTTTATAATCACTTAAAACTTCTTGTCTTTAAACTGATACATTCTTCTTTTCATTTTTCAATTGGACTACCAAGGGCTATATGAATTTATACCTATGGAATAATGTGTTATATCTACACATATTCTAACCGTTTAAATATATTGTTTTGTTAAAAATTATTTACTGGTCTCAGTTGTTTAGGAAGTCGGTGAAAAATTACTTTCGCGGATTGAAACCTATTTTTTGACAGGAATCAACTATTGATTTTGTGGCAAGTACTACTGATAAGATTTATCAGTAGTATATAAAGAGACGTTCATCGGTATAAAAAATATCAAGTAGTGGAGAGAGAGATTAGACGTCAAAGAGAGTAAATGATTCAGTGTTGCGGCAAAACATGGGAGACACGAAAAGAAGACAAAGAAACACAATACGAAGGCTAGAAGTAGCACAATACAGAAGATCTGTGCAAATGACGATTTTCAAATAAGATGTACATGATTTCTCTGTATAGAGATACCAAATTCCAAATAAACATCCCTTTACCAAGTATCTTGTCTTCTACCGTTACAATATAGCTATCATTAGTAGAAAACTGATCAAATGTCATGCATAATCTCAACTGTTACGTTTCCGTCACGAACCAACATCAGTTAGAGATATCCATGATGTTCATTGAGCACTGAACAACTGTTTTGCCCCATTTTAAGACTCTCTAGCAGTACGCATCGACAATCCAACCAGGGATAGGCCCTCGAACCTTCAGGTTACGAGACCAACCTTGTTGATTATTCAGCCACTTGGGCCGGGATTGATTCACGCGTGAATTCTAACTTTGTCAATTTGTGATAACACAGCACTGCCCACACCAATGCCATCGATAAGCATCGACTTCACCTTAACATGATGGAATCAATTGGTCACAACTTCTCACTACAGTTACAGAACAGTCATCCAGTAGCCACCCAATGAGCTGGCGATTGATATTTAGATGATAGAATTTGTTGGGATTTGCATTATACATAGGCTTTCCTCTCTTATACAACTACTGATTCAAATTTGAACCCCTACGGAGCAAAATGTAATCCGTTCAAATTTTCTGAAATAATTGTGTTCACAATTGCAAATAAGTGTTAAGTAGAACTAATACATAGATAGCCTATTTGCAAAATGACTGTTAGAATAAAATATAACTGAAAATATTAGAAAGCATGCACGTGGCTTCAGCACAAAGTAAGTCTAGAGACATTATGAACACTTAACATTAAATTACTGTATAGATACTTATGAGTTACAATTATACAAATGCGTCGTCAATGTAGACTAGTTAAGTAAGTGTTATATAAATAAACAAGAAAAATCATGAAATTTAATCTTGTGACATAATGAAAAATTAAATCTCGTGTTTAAACAGGCGACACACTGGGGATTATTAACATAGCAGAAAGGAGTGAACAAATTAAATGATGCAAGGGATTGGATAATCACTAGAAAAGGCAACACGGTAGGTTGCCTAATAACAATAGTGAAAGGAAGGAAGGAAAAAGGGATATTTGCAGGGGTAAAAATAAAGACGTAAAAGATAAAAGACAAGAGATGAAACTAGTATCCGGTCTTTCTAACTCGTTTATCATGTAAATTAACACATCACTTATAAACATTTTAACTATATTCTAAAAGCAGTGTAGTTGGGGTTTTTTTGCACACACTGCTTTCAACTAGAAATAATTAAATGCTATAAGAATTATATACAAACTGAGAGTCTTGAATTAGTTAGGTACCAGTTAAAACAATCACATGGTTGTATGATATGAATTAAGTGTCTTTTAAACTAAATAGAGGTTTCTAGTCCCCTTATATGTACATGTATTCATATATGTTCAAACTACTAGACTGCATTAATAGTTCCAACAATTTGTGATTGTTTAATTACGAATTTTAAACCACCGAACTCGCTTTCTGCAACAAGATATCATAACTGTGAAGAGGTGATTAGACAAGTACATTTTAGTTGACTTTTAAAATCACCAAGACTACCGTTTTTCATAATTACTGTACTATATAAGATATTTGAGCTACGTAACAACATATCAAGGATTCTAATTAAATCATTGTCACACTAACAAGCCATCGTTTTGAAACAGTGGACATACAAGCCTTAACTGGCTATTGAAACAAATGCAAGACATGTACAACAGTAAAAGGTCCTTATCGTAACTTCAATAATTAGTGTTTTTGATAATAAGAGAGGAATATAACACTAGAGTTAAAAAGCAGCCAAGTTTCACTTGACAAACAACATAAAGAAGTCGACTAATATACAATACGTATAAGAACTAATAACATACTAATAGATAGATTTCATGAATAAAAGTAAATTGTTGTGATAGTAGGTAGAATTCAGAATCACCTTTTAAAAACAGATTCACCACATACTATCCATTCAACAGAAGAAAGCATCAAAAATAAGACACATCTTCTTTAGGAGCTTGCAGTCATGAAAAACGAAACGTTCCTGTCATATTCTTTATTCCATGTGCAAATGACTGATATGACATGTGATTAGAACAGAAAGTAAGATAAAAAAACAACAACAGGAAAGCCATAAGAGATATTTTCCTAGCATCTTGAAAGCATACACACATGTTGATGTAAACTATTAAGAAATGAATTAAATTTATTTTCATTTCTTTAAAAAGGGCAGAATAGAGGGAAATTATGATGGATGGTCGATATTATGCTTCAGTTAATTGGTTGTCGCGTTTTACACCAGATTTATGCATTTACAAGTTAATTGGTAAGTTAGGAAAACGATGAACACTGTCTCTCCATAAGAATTGAATACTGAGTTTTCTGACACCCATTGGGGGGAAATTTTGTAAGCCCCCAATGTAAGTCAGATGCAGTTAAGTGCAGAACTATACTTGGGCCTTGAAAGCGTGTCCCAGGGACAGTCAGAAATACCACTGTTTTGGTTCATGTGGCTAGTTGTTAAAGTTTACGCAAGATTTGGACGTTGAGATCTTTGATAGGAAGTTGACAGAGAGAAACTGTGAGTGATGATCCTCCAGTTTAAACTGACTTCTTTGAGTACCAGAGGAGGAGAAAGGACTAGATTTGCACGACCGGAAACCCCAGAGGAAAGCCGCTTAAGGCAGGACATATATGACCTGTTTAGAAGCGGAGTTTCGTCCATAAGAAAAATATTACCATGAGCTGCAGACCGTTGTAGGGTAGGCTGGGATGTGTAGAGATTTAGCGCTTGCCTTCTCTGACACCTAATCTCAAACAGGAAGAGCTGCAGAGCCGACCTGCCAAGGGAAGCAGCCAACTGCTAATACGCTTTTTTTCGCCAGCAGCACTATTTCGCACTCAAACCCAAAAATAATTGCTATCCAACCTACCTTTCAGGAATGACAGAATCTGAAGTAACATTCATTTTAGCAAATCCTAAGGAAATACTAAGTTTAATGTCAGACGACCTGCAGCTTTGCTGAAACCAGTTCTTTAAATATGCCCCTACAAAAACCTAGAGACTTTCTCCCGCAAAACGAAGTAACTTTATGTGTTAAGCTAATCTTTTTGTCAAATAGTCGTTAGTTTGACTAAATTCAGAACTCTGAGCCAGATGTTGATAAATGAATACACCAAATATTAAGGTGATAATTAATTAGTCAAAACTGGTATGATAAAAAGTAGGTAGATAACTTACCTTCCCACAAAGATATATTAAATTAGTATCGGAATCGTAGAAAGGAAACAGTACGCCATTGCTTGTATCCAATTCTTGAATATGTAAAGGTTCAGAAATATCCTCCTAAAACAAAGAATTCATTGACTAATGTAAAACATACAAGTGTATTCAACATCAACGTTCAATCAACAATAATTTCTATCTTGATGCAGTAATGGGGCTTGGACAACCCTAAACATATTTCGGCCTACATATTGTAATCTAACATTTTCTGAAAGATACTCTATCACATATCTCAACATAACAAAAACAAAAGTAAAAACAGAAACTATGTGAGTGTGAATGAAACAAAGCTACAAGAGCCAAATAGCTATGTCACAGTCTCAAGCATTGAATTTTACACCTAGAAAGTCATTTTATTCAGACGATTGTCACTTCTTTAGGTGTATTAATTGATACTTTCTTTTTATTGTCACAAGATAACGAATTCTTGAATCTCATCTCCTGACATGTTGAATTTAGTTTAACAGTTGCACAAATGATACTTTTGACAAGAAAGACATCTAACAAAACTGTGTGAGTGACTAACTCACGATAAGTTTGAAAAGTTCTCCACATTATCATAACTTCAACTACCAATCAGAGTAAGCAATATGGCATGTGCAACATAAGCATGTTGGTTTACCAGATAGTGTGGTGTGTGCTACATAGCTAAAACACCATCGCTATGATTAAAAAGAAAGTCCTTGGTGTAATAAAATTCTAATTTATGTTGTCCATGTAGAGATCGAATTGAAGTGTGGTAATTTATCACATTATATGCTCATATACAATAATAGTCGCAACACACCTCTTTCGAAAACAGTTACATTCACTTTATAATCCTATAATAACTATAAGGAAATAAGAGGATGTTCTAAATTACTGGATTCACTTACAACATTAATCTGAACACTAGATAATTATTGATCCAAGAGGTATGAAAAATGTAAGTGATTGCGTTCAAGTAGTATTTGATTAAAAAATATAAACGTGGATTAAGTTGTATTTCTTCAATGCTATTGCTTAAAACATGTACCTTTCCAAAATATTTAAGGTATTCCCATTATATTATTCAATAGCCTTTTTCTTTACAATATCAGAAAAGGCTTTAAAAAACTTACATCTTTCCATAATGCATACTGACGTTCACTCATTGGTGAGAAACCCGTGGTGAAAATTCGATTATCTTTGATATAAACAGCCTCCTGGGGTTTTGTGCCTTGGTGACACATGCCATCCTAAGAAAAATTGAATAAAGTTTACTAAAAATAAATCTTTTAAATTATTCCAAGTAATAATCTTAAACAATCGACTATACAACTACCTATCTGGCTTTTCTGCATAATGATCCAAGCAGTCATTGCTAACACACGCACCTCAAGGGGGTAATATAATGGTAAGACCAAACTGATGTCAGTTCATGATGAAATCCAGAAAACAATCCATCAAATCCCTGCAAACCGACACTTGAATATCAATCTGATGCTCACTAGTGATTGGCCCTATTGAGGCAGGTAGTTACCTGATTTCTAGTGGGGAGTCATGGCCAGTGGAGTACAGCAGGTTGGGTGTGAGGACAAATAATCGCCAAGAATGACATTAGCTAGTGGTCATGCCATTTCCTGAACTGGCAGAAGCTGGAACTCATCGACCACGGTGGGTATGTGCCGATGAAGAGTCTCAAACTAGGACGAAGCGGCTATCCAGTACTCCCAGGTTTTCCAATGGTCATCTAACCGATGTCAGTTCATGATGAAATCCTAAGACAAAATTATTATTTGACTGTCATGAAACAGTGTAACACGAAGAAGAATAGAAAAATGAATATTTGTTGTCTTAGCAACAATCAAGACAGTGTATGAACAGATCTGCGTTGATACGACTGACTTTGAGCTGTATCAGTAAGCTTTAAACTATCTAATTACATTAACTCCAGGACAATATCCAAACGATTTTCTGAAACAAGTCAGAAAAATAGCCAATGAATTTATATATGGAAATTATGTTTTTATTCATTGAATCAATCACAATTTGACTTAATACATATACAGTTGAGTGATTCGATAAACACAGACAATGTAACAGTAACAGCTTCCTGTTCCCTCAATCCAGTACTACTTGAAATATCTATATCAGGTTTGATCACGTGCCGACATCAGTTAGAGAACCATTAGAAAACCAAATAATACTGGACGGCAGCGTCGTCCTAGTTTGGTATTTTTCTTTCCCAGTACACACCCAGTGGGGTTCGAATCCAGGGTCTTCCTGTTACAAGGCGAGGTCATAAACCATTAAGACACTCGGATCCAATCCAATGACTCATGAACTCCAAGTTTTGCCAATTCCAAATCAGCAACATATTAGAATGCAAAGTCTAACTGGTTCACTTTAGGAAATAACTACGTTTTATGTGATACGCATAAGACAATGTAAGTCGTCTTGAGAAATTATAACTATAGAAAATCATGTATTTTGAATGTATCACTCCTGCTGAACAATAAATGGTGGTACCATTGATTGGCCCGAAATACAGTGAAACAAATTGACAGTGGATCTACAACACAATAGATTAGCGATGAAATATACCTCAGATTTTTATTAACCTTTACGTGTTTACTAGACCTTTATATAGCTGCCAATTTAAGAAAGCATAAAATGCTATACAAAAAAGGTCTAGTAAATCACGCTGTAATATTTACTTTACTACAAACAACATAAAACTTCCTTCGAAGACGAAAATATACCTCGTAAATATATAAAAGATAATGAATGTAGGTGTATCAATAAACAATTATGCACAGATCAAGTCATAATATACATTAGTTAAGTAAACCTATGGAAGTAAGAGTGTGCAGAATCAGAAAAAAGAAGTAAGAGGGGAAAGTACTTACAACAATAATTGCTCCAGTCCGTGGGTTAAGTACTCGTGTACGCCGATCTTTACAGGTTGTAACCAATCGAGAACCGTTGTAATTAAAACAAGCAGATAAAACAATATCTGGAAATGCTATTTCAACCAATGGCTCTTCTGTAGCTACATTCCATATAAACACCATATTATCAGCACCTAATGAGTTAAAAACGCAAATAAACAAATATACGGAGGCGTATCGAAAATTAACAGTGTCAAACAATAGTAATAGTCATAAACAAAATGTACTAAATACCGGAAATTTGTGATTTACTTTATTTTAATCAATAATTTGCGAGTAGTGATTAGAAACATCGAAGTGTTACTGAAGTCTACATGACAAATACCTATGTAATGATACACCTAATAATGGATTAAAATGTTGAGCAGAAGTTATCGAAGAAATATAACTAATGCTAAAAGTATTAAAATGTTACTCCAGCTAGTGAAAGTAAGAAGTCAAACGTGAAGCTTTAACAAAACTACTCAGAACTGAAAATAAAACGTCTCATCAACCTTTATTACCGTTAGGATATATAGAGATAAGGCAAGTTTGTTTAAATGAACACAACACATCGCTACATTTTTTTGATGTTGTACTGAAACTCAGTGCATTAATATATGCAAACTTTGATTCCACAACGAATAAACCAATATGAATACAGAAAAATTCGTATATCTATAAGTGAGTGAGAAATGTTTCAATACTAGTCAATTAAATACCGGTCCACAATTAACATGACGTCTCATCTCAAATAATCCACTTAATGTAACACAAGAAACAGATAGTGGTATACAATCACGACAAATCTAAACTTAGTACAGTGTTTGAACAAAACATTCGACTGCTAGTTCACCCATATACCATATTGTAACAAGTTAAATATTAGATCACTTAAGAGCCTATGAAAATAATCAGTTACTCAAACCAGGACAATTAAATAGGAACTCAATGATTGGAAGTGAAACAGGTTTAGAAAACAATGAAATTTTTTTTAAAAACAAAATTAAATTGATACTAAGAGAAATAAGGGGAGAACAAAATCATTCGAAGCAACAGATCCATTATTTTTTAAACTGTTTAACAATATTGATGAAAATTTCATGATGACCCAGCTACCTTGATATCCAATACATTTGGTAGTGACCAAATAATGTTAGGATAACTTAACTGGTTTTAATCAAAGCATTTGTAGAAATCTCATTATTATAAAAACCTGAAAGTCGAACAGAAGAATACAGTCTCCATAGATTTACACAAACGAGAAAAATATTGCTCTGAAACATTTGATTCTTAAACAGGAAGTTTTTTTATTCCTTTACGTTCCCAGTGGAACATAGGGCTTCAAGCTAAAGGTTTGAAGTTTCGGTAGCAGTGGTGTTTATTTTTACGCGATGGGGTTGCTAGCCTCATACCCAACTTTCCCTCATTACCAGTTTTATTAGTGGCATAGCGAGGTAAAGGAGTGCGTCGGTCGGGGATCAAACCCCGGACAACATGCGTGGTTGACGAGCATTCTAAGGCTGTGCCACCAACGCTAAAGGGATAAATACGGTGTATTTAATGTGCTCCTGAAGTACAGTAGTTAATTAGCTCAAAAGTTATCAAATGAGTTCATACAAATAGAAAGAAAAAGTCCAACTGGTACACAGTTTCGAATTAAATACACAACAACAAGAAACTGCAATTTAACAACAATTTACACGACTATGTACTATGAAATGAGTGAAAGCTGTCATACAGCGTGAGTACATAAACCTTGATAGGTAGGGGGACCCGAAACTATAACCTACTGCTTAAAAATGAAATGCCCAACCCAGCGAGTTACAGCTATAAATAGATAAACCAGGTAAAAAAAACCTAAGATAACTACATATTTATTCACATTTAAATACACACAGTGATACAGTATGCACTGTATTTTCTCAAATAAAATTACTCTGCTATGGAATTAACCTAAGTCCTGCTGTAATAAGACATTTTACTCACGTCAATCCTGTTTTTGCAAAACCCTTAGTTACGTTTGTATCAACAAAAGTTTAGCAACACTTGTATAACCTAAGCCATATGTTTTGTTTACTGTGCAGTCAAAATATGATACAGAGCAAAACACGGAACTACGCATTTCATTTTTTTTTAAATAAAACTTTAAAATGATTAAATATGTTAGATTGTGCTATTAAGGTGCACAGTTTGAACAATCGTAGTATAACGACATCTACACAATTATATGAAGTTAAACAATACACCAAGTCATAACACGACTCGTGCATAGATAAATTTGCTTTACACAGAATTCCTTACCACCGAGAAATAATCTGCACATTGATTTCCTTAATAGAACTTGTCAATACTATACGAACTAAGAAAAACTACCCTCCTACATTAGGTAACCACCAACTACCGAAGAAGTGTCGTACACATTACGTTATGGTATAACATACATAACTAGAAATGTATACCACTATAGAATCATTTTACTTGATAGAAACACAGTGATACAGTATTATTTACTGATAACGTTTCGAGAAGAATTCATTGATCATAATTATATCAATTGTTGGTATTAGATGGTTGGAGGCAATCGGCAGGAAGCCTTGGACCTAGGTTTCGTGCTAGTTGGCACTCATCAGCAAGGCGTATCTGCAACCTTGAAGGAACTGATGTCCCTTCTGAGACTCGAACCCGCGTCACCCGGTGCTGCAGTCAGAGACGTTACCACGTTACCACTGCCACATTGCAAAATGACTGATAGAATTCAGTCTGCACCGAAGATAGGACTAGACGCATTACACTAGTTACTGACTAGTGTGCAATCAAAAATAATTATATCAACCCCCAGCATAACTCTCACAGTTTATTTATATAGTTCTATTATCTTTCATTTTTTGATTTTATTGATAGTAATATTTTCTGCATCACTGATTTAGGTGCTGCGTCATTCCTTTCGCAAGTGTTTGGCCTAGATTCGATGAACAAAGATAAAATGGTCAACCTCTGTCTCCCTACTTATATATTTTTCTTTAGGACTGTAGCTCTTTCCCAGCCTGTTGTGTGAATGATTGTGTCAGTGCATGCATTACAATTGCTGAAGTTTTTTTCGAATTTACACGCAACACATGCAACAGGAATGACGTAAAACTGAAATCAGAGATATGAAAAACATTACTACCAGCGAAACGAAAGGACAAGAAAAAATAGGATGATATAAACAAAGTTTGAAAGTTATGTGATTACCTTGATAAGATTATGAGCAATCAATTGTGAACAAAACGTCATTATTAAATAATACTGTATCACTGCACCTTATCAAATAAAGTTACTTCATGATGGGATTATGCTCTACGACAGTGCCCAAAATCCTATTTTTATATCAGTTAATTTGTACCAGTTACTTATGATTCAAGTGATATCAAAAGTTAACACGGGTGGTTACGGAACACGCATGGTTATTAGCAACTATTAAAACATCATAGGATAATCACCTTGCAGTAGCACTCATTATTGCAATATGACTGACTGAATACAACTCATGAAATCGTGTGTGCTAGTTCAATAAAAATGATGTATATACCAGAGTAGTGAAGAAGTCAGACTGACCAACTGTATTGCTTTCTATTAACAACAAAAGACTCGGAAGACTAGTCGAAAAGAATACCATGTGTCTTAGTTTCGTACTTAATGACCATTTAAAGCAAAATGCGAAGAGTGATTCTGATTCTGTTGATTATCATCCAAATGACAAATCTCCATAAACGTTTACACAGTTTGTGAGCAGGAATAGGGGGTTTGATGAAAAAGAAACTTCTATCATCACACAAAAAACGGAGTGATATAGAACAGATGATAGAAGGCTGCAAATGTATATTTCTCAGTCCACGAGTTCTAGATAGTTTATATGTTGCATTGAGAGAAACTGATAACATGGAATTGTCATTTAACTCCACATTTCGATGACATAAATATGAAGAACTATGAGGCTGTAAATATTAGCCTTAAAAGTTAAAATATTCCATAGATATTTGCTTTTTCACAATTTTACAGAAGATTACCTTAAAAATACAAAATACAGTTAGTTTCAAGTTACAAACAAAAAACGAGAAATAGGTTTCACAAGTAAATACTGATTAATGCTTTCACTTCAGATCAAGATTAAAAGTCATATTACCTGCGGACAATAAGACATGCTCAGCTGTTGGATGCCATACGACTAATCCAACGCGACGTTGATGACACACCAGATCAGCTACAGGTGTTGTTAAATTTGTTTGCGGGAGAAGTCCACCTTCTGGAATTTGCCAGACCTTTACAGTACAATCTTCTGAACCACTAGCAATAAGGTCATCATTATGTGGGCACCACTGTATGTCTAAGACACTCCCCTTATGACCAGCAACAAGAGGAGCATCACGTTCCACCCTTCCCACCTAAAGAAAATTACATTTGTGTAAATTAATGTCACTGATACTGCACAAGAAACATCTACTATTTTCCAAAATCCGATATATAGTGCTACGGGGTCGAGAACTATTAACGTTATAAAATGCTTGCCACAAATGATAGTGGAGAGACCTATAGTGTAACCAAGAAGCTACCTTTAAGTAACCGTATACAAACCAAATGTAACACTTACTTGACTAAAATGAATGACACTTTTCATTAGGAACTAGTGAGTTCTTACCAGCATTCACAGTTTGAGTAGAAATTGTAAAGGTAATTTTCAATTTTAGATCAACGTACTAATACTTTCGACTTTGACAAGAATGTAATTAGAGTCTTAAACTCCAGTTAACACACGAAACAGGTATATTAATTTGATGGCTGAGAGAATTCAAACAAAAATGAGTAAGTAGCTATGGTGACTGTTTATCAACTAACTCACTGACTTGGATATTATCACTACGAACCGATATCTTTAAAAATAACGTGTGGAAAAGTAACGCAGTCCTACTACTCCACTCATCATAAACATATGGTCTTTAATTACACATCAAGGATGATTGGCCTCAACTCATAATTTCAAAACTAGGTAACTGGTTCTAAATCCATGACATGTGTAGCTTCACACATACATAACAACAAGCTGTAACTGGAATAACAGAAAACCACCCAGATTACAAAAGGAACTGTACGTTTATATATTAACAACTAGATATTTTATCTATAACTCTAAATTCCCCGTACTTCACACTTTACATAAAAGTGAAAGAGATAAAGAAAATATACCAACATGAAATTTTTATATGAAGAAATTTCATAAAATATAGTAATACAGAACAGTAACTTCGTTTGATACTGAAAACTCCCATATCTCTATCGCGAGTGCGATAGATAAACACAACCACTGATAGCACACGAAATGTGACCAAAAGACTACATCTACTTAAAGCCTAAAGCTATCGACGGACAAGTCAACCTCTAAGTGGTATGGAATCTAAAACTCACCGAAGTGATGCCAGTTATATTCTAGTATGGCTAGTATCTAGTATCCGACTTACACCAAGATCAGCTATAATATCTGATCAACACCACTTAAGTGACTAGATGACACAAATTGAAACAACCTCTCTATGAAGAAACCAGTAGATACAGACAAATTAAATAACATACCCTACTGATGCAAACAAGGCTTGGTAAGAGAAAAACAATCTGAAATAAAACAATTGTCAACACCTTATATGTATCTATGTTGTTAGCACATATAACAACAGCTAGAGATCAGAAATGACACCAGACAACAAACAAAGTACATTACAAATTGGTAGCAGAAATTTTGTTGCACTGTACTTATTAGGACGACAGATCTTAGACATAGCTAAGTATTTACTAGATCATTTTTGGGCCTAAATTATCATAATGAGCTCAACACAAAGGCGACTGATGATTAATTTTGACTAGGAAACGTACTAATAATAAACTCCATATTATACTGTAACATCTTAAGGCGATTTGGTACGTGCTATTTACCGAATCAAAATTACCTTTTCTATGGGCAGAACAAGAAACGCACCACCCCCAGCAGCTTCAGTGATAATTGCCAAGTACTTGGGATTTACAGCGCAGAATCGGGCATCCCAACTACTTTTAGTTATCCGTATATCTTCATAACAAAATTCTTTTTTGCACGGTTTACCGAAAACATGTTTGAATTTACTTCGGCGCATAAACATCTAAAAGGCGAAAATAGATTTTGAACATTAGCCATACGACAATATTTTGTTAACAACTCAAAATGAAACAAGTTTTGATTACTAAAAGCTGGCTATTCTACTACGTTGCATGAACTGATTCTTTTACTAAACTACACTGGCACATTCTAGACTATTTTTTAGCTTCTGCAAGCAGACATGTTTACATTATCATATGAACTAACCAGTTAAAACAATAATTGATTAGAGTTAAAAAAATAACCGCAAGCTCAAATGTGTTTGACAGACATTATAAACTTTAGAAACTGTAATCTAGATTCTTAACTATTTTACTAAGCGAAACCTATAGCAGTAAAAATGATTGAAACAACTGCCTTTTTGTGCATCAAGTAATACGAAGTAAATATAGGTTACGTAGAACAAAAGCTGACCAACCAGCTGACTAAGTTTAGTAACGCCTTAAGGAAACGTTGATTAACTGAATTTAAGGTTATTATTAATTGGGAAACATTCAGGTATTGTAAGTTTTTCTTTGTTCTGGCATCAACTATTTGTCATGCGAACGTAAACTACAAAACAATAATTCAGGAGCATCTAACACAGGAGAAAAATAGAGAACAGTGCATTATTCTCCGTAAAGAAATACGTTACATACATGGATATGAGTAACACAAAGGTTTTTCACTTAGAAATGCAACTTAAAGGTACACAATATTATGGTCGAAAATCTATTTTGATACTTGACAAGTATGATAGACTTCAAAATAAAAAGTGAAATACTCCAAGACGACTAATGTGGTTCAGAAGTATGAATGAAGTTCACCAGCTCATAATATCTTTAAAAAGTAAGTGAAGATGAAGTATGAAAACCATGACTGGAACCTAAAAAATTATTCTGAATGACCAATTATCATAGTATCATAGCCAAAGTCGCAGTTTTTTAAAAGTTGACCTTCAAGAACCAATCAGATAAAAAAATGCTATGAAAAGTCATTCCAAATCAAAACATACTCTTGGAGAGGGCACATACAGTAATCTACTTATTCCCTAGGTACCTTTTCTGTAAATCTATACTGTTAGGTAGGGTTATGGCTTTTTAGATCACGGTTTAGGGTCTAGAGTTAAGGTTAGGATAAGGAGTTAGGACTATGGTTAGAGTTAGGAGTAGGTTAAACAACAGTGCCAGAAATACCAACGGATCTTAAAGTACCATAACCTACAACGACCTAGATGAATGTATCTATCGCGCATGTTTTAATTTTGCGATAGACCTATGAAGTGACTGGGAGACATTCTTACAACATATAAGCGACAACTATATGGTGTTATACCTTGTTTGCAATGTTTTTAGTGAATTTTCCCACGATTATGCGGCATTTTGGATAGAAATTCTGATTGGTTGTTTTTTGGCTATGTTAGTTGAAATTTGCAGTATTCACCACTTTGGAGACATAGATATGAACTCAAAACACTACCCGACACAGCACAATAAATGGACAGTCAACTGACAACATATTGCAAGGTTCAGTATATTATCACAAGATATCACGCGTTTAGTCAGAGGAAGAAAGCAAAAGCAACCACTAATCCTCTAGTTTATGTGAACCCCAGTTAGTAAAAGCCATCGATCTCCACAGTTTTCGAGTAAAACCCACAACAGGAGGTTTACAAGGATATTTTCGTTGGTGGTTCTTCTGTTTCTCCAAAAAGTACACATAAAAAGTACAAGAATTAGAAGTGTGAGAACACACCTGGGAACATTTCATATCACTTATAACCACTAACAATAAGTGACCAGGACATTCATGAATCACAGTATGTACTAAGGTACACTGATCTTGGGTAGAATTTGAGACCGATTTACTTCCTCGACAATAGGTAGAATGAAAACGCAACAGTAAAACTATGTATTGAGAAAGGGTGAGCGTGGTGATTGAAAGTGAACTTACTCCTGGTAACATTCACCATTACATCATCCTCAACTTTACAGATATGCACAAAATGAAGCATCAGTCAACTGTGTAACTGAACACCCTCTAACCAATGGTGCAGCATTTCGATAAGGTGAAAGGTAAAATCACTATTCGGGATCCATGGGTCCTGCATTATGCAAATGTGTGATGGACTGGCTTGCATTCACAACGCTTTGTGTTCAAGTACTGATTATCTTTATGGGATATCAACCATTAAAACTAAGGAAAGAAGCCTCTACACAAACGTCTAATGACTGGTCACGAAAACTGAGTGAATACCTACACAACCCGAATTATTGCATTTCATGAAATATGACTTATGTAACACTAGCAGTTCTTCTAGAATCAGTAAATTCCAAGTGCCATTACGTGGATAACACAGCACAGAAGACAAACTTCGCAATAGCAAAGCTAAATTTAATCTTGAATACTTTAAAGAAACTTATTCACACATTATCCCCAAAATATGTGCCTCTATAGAGAAACAAAACATTATACTGCATCAACATAAGTTTTGATTTGATCTCTCAATATAAATAAAGTCAGGGATTTCTAGATTAACAATGAATTCGACCACGGCCCCAAGCTTACAACAATTCTAAACTTATTCTAACCTATGCGTTGATAATGCCTTTTTATGGTAAATGAAAATTTTTTCTACCCACTATGTTCTTAAATAACTCTGGTCGTGTTTAAAAAGAGAGCTGGGTGCTGAATTAGGTCTTTTCGTTCTGAAGTAATGCTAGTCAGTGCTTAATATGTCCTGTAATGGCTGGAACAACGCTGATAAGGAAACCCAGTATGTTCTGATCTACTCCTGAAAATGCCTAGAAAAAGAACACGGTGCTGAGTTAGTTCTAGTCATGCTGAAAACCAGCACTGAGTTCTAGTCTGTGCCATTAAACAAACCATTTCAGAACAGATTCAGAATTTACTCACTATAGGATGCAAGAATTATTTCAGAATTACTGAGATTTAATTCAGCATTATTGTAAGCTTGGGGCATTATAGCACTACTAACAATACTTGCGAGCAATGACAAACATGCTAGTCCCGTATACTTCATTAAAAATACAAACTAAAAATATGCTTCCAACTTACAATATAATCCTCAAATACTGCTACTTAGAACCAAATGATAACAAAGACCTTACAGACCTCACGGAAAGTTAGTCCGAATAGCGAACTCTCAAAGTAGCGGGCGAGTTAGTGCAGCAAAACAACAGTTGAAGACAAAATTTCGAGTTGTCTCATACGTTCATTTAGTGTCTTTGGTTCAACAGAATCTCAGCAGTGGTACTGACTGATCATCGTTTTAAATGTGCTTGGGTTTAGGCCAATGAATGAGTGAAAATGGTGATAAATATAGGTAGGAAGAAAACCAGAAATTTAATGGTAGGAAATCTGTTGCAGCGGTTAAACATCGAGACGGACAGAGAGCCGAAAGCTCAGCAGTTCGGTGGTACAACCCGAGACCAGAATGATATTTACTGACACTGAAGCTGACCGACCTGCTCAGTCACGCACTTCCCACGCTTTATTCGGTTCCTCGGTGCAATTACTGTATCCACAATGTTCAAAACACCACTTTCACGTAAGTATAAATGTCTGGTGCATCACAGCCTATGGACATTTTTAGGCTCAATAAGGTAACCATTCAGCCATTTGTTCCGATGATGGCCGTTATAGAGCCACCAAAAATGAAGTGATGCGAGCAACAAATTCGAGATTTTCATTACCAGGTGGTGGCGCTACAAAAAGCCGTCAGTAGAAATCGATAGTTTGACATAAAAATGCCTGGGCACTGGCGAAAGTTTTTGATGTGGTTGTGTTCTCTGAGCTGGATAGTTGATTTGCGAAGCTTTCATCACCCTACTAGGTGACATCTTCAGCGCATACTTCAATTTGAAGTGAGCTTTTAGATTTCTCCACGAGTTTATTAATCATCTCTCCTGGCGACCTTGGACGTGATTGGTTGTTTTTGTTTGTTTTCACACCTTCTAGGTTGCTTGTATTGTCACTCATTGTTTCTTTGACTTGAACTTTGACCCTTTGTGTGTGACGTTTCTTTCTTATCGGTTGATAAATTTTGTCTATCTCGATGTGTCTATTGATTGATGATTCACTGGAATGCCAAGCTTCTAAAAATTCTCTAGCATTCTTGTTGTTTCCTCTGTCTAATATTTGAACGTTGTCCCAGTCGAATTGATGTCCGTGGTTGTCTGTATGTAGTGATATGAGGGAGTGGATATCATGTCTCTTGACAGCTAGCTTATGTTCGTGGATACGAAGACGAAGGGGACGTCCACTTTGGCCAATGTAGTGTTTTTCGCAGTTGATACAATCTATTTTGTAGATGATGTTGGTTTTATCTTCCTTCGCTGTTGAGTCTTTTGGTTGACATAGAATTGAGTGAAGTGACTTTGTTGGTTTGTGTACGACGTCAATTCCTAAAGGTTTGAAGAGTCTTGTAGTGATTTCTGAGATATCCTTTATATATGGTAAGGCGATTTTCTTTGTGCTTTCCTTGGGGGCTTTTGGTTTGATAGGTTGGCTTGGGGGTATATGTCTTTTGATGAAATTCCGTGGATATCCATTCTTTTGGAAGACGTCCATGAGATATTTTTCTTCAATTTTCCTTAAGGTGGGAGTGCTGCAATGAGTCCTGGCTCGCTTGAATAGTGTTTGTATGCAATTCCTCTTGTGTGCTATTGGATTGTTGCTGTTGTAATTCAGGATTTGGTCTGTGTGAGTTGATTTTCTATAGACTTGAGTTTCTAATTCTCCTGTCGTTGTTCGCTTGACTAAGACATCCAAAAATGGGATTTGGTTTTCTGATTCCTCTTCTCTTGTGAATTTGATGTCGTTGAAGACGTTGTTTATCAGGTTGTGAGCTTTATCTAACTCGTTTCTTTTGATAATTACGAATGTGTCGTCTACGTAACGTATCCAAATCTTGGGTTTGATCTTTGGTAGAATTATGTTCTCGAGCCTTTGCATCACTGCTTCTGCAATCAAACCTGATATTGGCGATCCCATAGGTGTTCCTTTGACTTGTTCATATATTTGGCCGTTGAATTGGAAGTACGTTGTTAGACATAGGTTTATGCATTCCATCCAACTTGTGTGTTGCATTTTTGATTTTTGTGGAAGGTGTTCGTCGTTGCTAAGTAATTGCTCCATGGTTTCTTTTGCTAGTTTTTGTCCGATTGAGGTATACAATGCTGTGACGTCGAAGGATATCATTATCTCTTGTTCATCTATTTGGATGCCTCTGATTTTCTCTAGGAATTGGATAGCGGAGTTGATGGAGTGGTCACAAGATTCCGTTAGGTGCTTTAGTTTTCTGTATAATTCTTTGGATAAATTGTATGTTGGAGTTCCTGGTAGTGATACAATTGGTCGTAACGGGATATTTGGTTTGTGTATTTTGGGTCTGCCGTAGAATCGGGGTAGGACTGGTCCACTGGATTTCATTCGCCATTGGTCTTGTTTTGTGATTTGTCCAGTTTTGGTAAGCTTGTTTAAGGTCCTTTGGATGCGGTTGTCCAGTGTTTGTATGGGATTTGTTGGGAGTTGTTGATACACATCCTTGTCTTTGAGTAGTTCTTCAGCTTTCTTGGTGTATTCTTCTCTGTCCATGACTACTGTTGTTCTTCCTTTGTCGGCTGGTAGAATGACGATGTCCTTCCTATTTTTCAGCTTTTTGAGGGCCTTTAGTTCTTGAGAGTTGAGTTGTGTGTGTTGTTTCTTCTGTTTGACCATTGGTACAATTGTTTGGCGTATCTCTTCCTGTGTTTCCTCCTTTAAGTTTGATGATTTGAGTAATGATTCAAAGGCAGCGAAGAAATCAGTTTTCGAGGCATCTCCGGTGTTGTAGTTTAATCCTTTTTGTAGTAGTTGTTGTTCCATTTTTGATATTGGTTGTTTTGATAGGTTGACTACGCAGTCTATAGGTGTATTGTCTGGTTGTTGTTTTCTAATCTTGGCTAGCTTGGTTTTGAGGACTCTTCGTCTTTGTTCTCTGTGTTTTCTAATTGACAATGTAATTGCGGTGATCAGCGTTGATAGGTGTTCCTGGTTGAGAGTTTTCTCTAGTTTTTCTTTTTGGACATCCATTATTTGTTGATATTTCTTGATCCGATAATGTGCGTCTGTAATCATTAATTTGACCATTCGCCTTCCACATTGTTCAGCCAATTTCCATCCCATTGGGCAGTTGACTGGTGGTTTGTATCTTACACTGGTCGGTAGGATTTGATGACGAAGGCACTCATGGAGAAAGAATAATTGTTCTCTGGTGGATCCTTGCCTTTTGGCGAAGTCTTCCCACTTTCGAACAGAGAGAAGCGTTTCCCGCTCGTAAGATTTAGAAATGATAGAGAAGATTTGTAGCCAAGATTAACACAACCAGACAATACACCTATAGACTGCGTAGTCAACCTATCAAAACAACCAATATCAAAAATGGAAAAACAACTACTACAAAAAGGATTAAACTACAACACCGGAGATGCCTCGAAAACTGATTTCTTCGCTGCCTTTGAATCATTACTAAAATCATCAAACTTAAAGGAGGAAACGCAGGAAGAGATACGCCAAACAATTGTACCAATGGTCAAACAGAAGAAGCAACACACACAACTCAACTCTCAAGAACTAAAGGCCCTCAAAAAGCTGAAAAATAGGAAGGACATCGTCATTCTACCAGCCGACAAAGGAAGAACAACAGTAGTCATGGACAGAGAAGAATACACCAAGAAAGCTGAAGAACTACTCAAAGACAAGGATGTGTATCAACAACTCCCAACAAATCCTATACAAACACTGGACAACCGCATCCAAAGGACCCTAAACAAGCTTACCAAAACTGGACAAATCACAAAACAAGACCAATGGCGAATGAAATCCAGTGGACCAGTCCTACCCCGATTCTACGGCAGACCCAAAATACACAAACCAAATATCCCGTTACGACCAATTGTATCACTACCAGGAACTCCAACATACAATTTATCCAAAGAATTATACAGAAAACTAAAGCACCTAACGGAATCTTGTGACCACTCCATCAACTCCGCTATCCAATTCCTAGAGAAAATCAGAGGCATCCAAATAGATGAACAAGAGATAATGATATCCTTCGACGTCACAGCATTGTATACCTCAATCGGACAAAAACTAGCAAAAGAAACCATGGAGCAATTACTTAGCAACGACGAACACCTTCCACAAAAATCAAAAATGCAACACACAAGTTGGATGGAATGCATAAACCTATGTCTAACAACGTACTTCCAATTCAACGGCCAAATATATGAACAAGTCAAAGGAACACCTATGGGATCGCCAATATCAGGTTTGATTGCAGAAGCAGTGATGCAAAGGCTCGAGAACATAATTCTACCAAAGATCAAACCCAAGATTTGGATACGTTACGTAGACGACACATTCGTAATTATCAAAAGAAAC